AATAAATAAATAAATAAATAAATAAATAAATAAACATTAAAAAGTAATAATAATATTTTTTGGTCCCTTATCTGAAATTCAAAATTAACTGGGCATTCTGTATTTTATTTGCTAATTCTGGCAACCCTTCCCTCTTTGCCCAACAAGGTCTCTGATATGGCTGTAAAGTTCTATGATCATCTCACTGCTGGGCCAGTCCTGTTTAGAACAGTCAGGAAAGTTAGCTGCTAGCTTCAGAACTGCTATCCTAAGGGACTGCCCAAGGACAGGACGAGAGAATATGTGTGCGTCTCCTTGGGGGTCATTGGAAAAGACCCATAAAGACTGTGCTTTGCTGGTGGTCCACTTCCTATGGCCACTTGGGAACCCCCTCAGCCATGGGGGAGTTCCTTCACCACAAGGGCACAGAGGATGCCACTTCCCCATCCCCAGGCCCAAGCTGGGGGCCTGGGACACACACTGAGCTTGTGGATTCTGGGAAATTGGGTCAGCCAAACAAAAAGAAGGTGGTGGAAAGCAACCTCATTCATCCTTGTTAATTTTCATGACACCTATGAAGTGGGTGCTCATATTAATCTCATCTTAAATTTAAAAAAAGAGAGGGGCGAGGAGCCTGGGTGGCTCAGTCAGTTAAGCCTGCAACTCTTGATTTTGGCTTAGCTCATGATCTCACCAACGGTGAGATCTTAAGACCCGCCTCTCTGTGTTAATAGCACTCAGCCTGCATGGAATTCTCTCTCCTTCTCTTTCTTCCCCTCCCTCGAAATAAATAAACATTAAAAAAAAAAAAAAAAAAAAAAAAAAAAAGAGGACATGTCCTGGAGTGCCTGGGTGGCTCGGTCGGTTAAACGGTTAAGCGTCTGACTTTGGCTCAGGTCATGATCTTGCTGTTCAGGAGTTCAAGCCCTGCCTTGGGCTCTGTGCTGACAGGTCAGAGTCTGGAGCCTGCTTCACATTCTGTGTCTCCCTCTCCCTCTGCCCTTCCCCTGCTCATGCTCTGCCTCTCTCTCTCTCTTTCTCAAAAATGAATAAACATTAAAAAAATAAATAAATAAAATAAAAAAGAGAGAGAGAGTGGTGCTTGGAGGGCTCAGTCAGTTGAGCATCTGACTTTTGATTCTGGCTCAGGTCGTAACCCCAGGGTCTTGGGATAGAGTCCGCATCAGGCTCCGTGCTGAGTGTGGAGCCTGCTTAAGATTCTCTCTCCTTCTGCCCGTCTCCCCTGCTCATGCTCTCTCTTCTAAAATTAAAACAAAAAAAAATTTTTTTTTTTTAAGAAGAGAGAGACTCATAGAAATTAATTGATCCATTCAACATCACATAGCAAGTAAGTGACGAGCGAGGATACGGAACAAGTCTGTCTGAACCACAAATCCTGATGAATCCTTGTAAAGAAGAGGTAGACACCAGGGGTTAACCTGAAGCAGGCACCAGAGTGAACATCTCCCGTCTGGCAGCCAGAGGGTGGTGGTCTGTGGACCAGTCTCTGGGTGGAGAAGGCCCGGTGGAGACGTTTGCCCAGTCTGTGGGTCTACCTCCTCAGCCATCTCAGCTCTCTGGCCACTCTGGACATTCAGAGGGTGTCTTTGCTTTGTGGAGATTCTCCTGTCCGATGAGGTTGATATTAAAGCTGAAGATCTTCCCTGGCTGAGGACATTAGCATTTTTCCCCAAGACAAATGGCCTGCGGTTGACTTAATTAGGATATTTGCAGAATTTCTCACTAGTACGGGTGTTCAGATAGCCAATCAGCTCAGGGCTGTGAAATCAGACCAACCCTGGGGGGGCAGGTCTAGGGTTTCTCTGCCTTGAGAACCTTCCCTTCTGGTGGGGACCTCTTCCCCCATATTGATATGCACATGGCTTCTCCCCACTTGGGTATCCTGGGTGAGGTTCAAGTTCTCATTAAAGCTCTTTCTCTAGAGGGAATTTTATCACGTTGGGCATTTTATCAGGTTTTGAATATTTTTCTTCCAGTTGGTCCTCAGATAGTAAAAGTACAAGTTACGTGGATGAACTCTTGCTCAAAATCTATGCACCTATAGTTTCTCCTCTGAAGAAAAATGAACCAAAATTTGGACCCGGGGCAGAGGAATCAGGGTCATCTTATTCTCAGAACACAGAGACTTGTTCAAGTGACTATTTTCTCCCATGGACAGTACACAACTGATACCACCTTAGATGCAGAGAGAAGTGTGTTGATTACATATGAAGAAGGCCTTGGGGGGCTCCTGGGTGGCTCAGTTGGTCGAGTGTCCGACTTCGGCTCAGGTCATGATCTCACCGCTCCCGAGTTCAAGCCCCACGTCCGGCTCTGCGCTGACAGCTCAGAGCCTGGAGCCTGTTTCAAATTCCGTGTCTCCCTCTCTGTCTCTGCCCTTCCCCCTCTGTTTCTGCCCCTCCCCCACTCGTACACTGTCTCTCTGAAAAATAAATAAACATTAAAATAACTAAGGGAAAAAAAAAAAAGGAATGCCTTGGGCATTAGGGCGCCAACCTCTCTTCAGAACCTGGCTGAGGAATACCATTCTAGGGGAAGAAAAATTTGCTTTGACTTCTTATTTACTATGGATCAGGGTCCAGAATCTTTCATGTGGGATATTGACCTGCCAAAATGGGTAAGATGCAAATGCTTTTCTCTGGTATTTTTTTTCAATTAAAAAAAAATGTTTATTTATTTTTGAGACAGAGAGCAAGTGGGGGAGGGGCAGAGAGAGAGGGCGACACAGAATCTGAAACAGGCTCTGAGCTGTCAGCACAGAGCCCGATGTGGGGCTCGAACCCACGAACCGTGAGATCATGACCTGAGCCCAAGTCGGACGCTCAACCGACTGAGCCACCCAGGCGCCCCTCTTTTCTCTGGTATCGAAGAAGGTAAAATAGAAACATTTGGAAGAGACAGTAATGGTAACCCCAAAGATTGTGGTCTTCTTGCATGGTAAGGCAGTAGCCACTTCCATCGTCGACTTAGACAGGTTCTTCGTCCAGAATTCTCTTTTTCATTGAGAGTGTGCATGTGAGCTCGTGCATGTGCACACACGCACGGACTCGCAGTTTTTTGCATCCTTCTTTGAACCAGCTTTGTCATCCTGATGTTTGTCTCCTTAATATTCTCACTGTGAATCTGTGTGAGAACGATGGTGATGTTGCTACCATCTTGAAACGTGGGTGGTGGCTTCCCCTTTTGTGAAGCTATTGTTGCTCTGTAATTGAAGGTGGACCACTGATGGGCCCTTGTCTCGTATTTCCTGCAAACACAGTCCTCTCTGGGGGAAGGCACAGGTGTGGCAGCCATGAGTGAGGAGAGGTTCCTGCTGCCGGTGCTCCCCTGACATCTTCCCTCATTCCCTTTCTCAGTCAGCCCCACGCGGGCTCTTTCCTGCTCACCCTTCCAGGGACTGAGCCACCCTGGGAACCCCTCATTCACAGGACCTTTCTCCAAAAGACCCTCTTCTCAGATATTAGCACTCCTGTGATCACGGCAGCACTATTCGCAATAGCTAAGATGTGGGAACAACCTAAAACGTCCATCAACAGATGGCTGGATAAAGAAAATGGGATATGTACGTGCAACCGATTACTATTCAGCCTTAAAAAAGAAGGGAATCTTGGGGCGCCTGGGTGGCTCAGTCAGTTAAGCGTCCGACTTGGGCTCAGGTCACGATCTCAAGGTTTGTGACTTTGAGCCCCGCATCGGGCTCTGTGCTGAGAGCTCGGAGCCTGGAGCCTGCTTCGGATTCTGTGTCTCCCTCTCTCTCTGCCCCTCCGCCGCTCACGCCCTGTCTCTCTCCGTCTCTCAAAAATAAATGTTTTTTGTTTTTGTTTTTAAAAGAAGGGAATTCTGCTGTTTGCCACAACATGGATGGGCCTTGGGGACATTATGCTGAGTGATAGAAGTCAAACAGAGATGGACAAGTACCACATGATTCCACTTCTTTTTTTATTTTTTTTAAAATTTTATTTAAATTCGTTAGTTAGCATACAGTGTAGTATTGGTTTCAGGAGTAGAATTTAGTGAATCATCATTTACATACAACACCCAGTG